AACTATTGTGATGCATAAGTTTCTTTATTTGTAGGGTTGAGTGTATCTGCTTGTGCCTTGATATGGATCACAGAATATTGTTATATTCATTTCATACCAGTCTTATTCTCGTAGGGAGATTAGTATGTTCATTTGTATGTCACTCAGTATTGACTATAAAGATGTCACAAACATTCACTACTCATTTCTGATTATTATATATGAGTATCTCATTGTGCGTACAATACATCTTCTATTGTTATCACGGGTGTTAGCACTCATCCCATATTGCATTATATGTCTGCAAGAGGTAGGTTGCATAAAGGTGAATTGATGCATTCACTGCATATTGATCTTTAGTGTACGTAGGAAATTGATATGTTCACTGTCATTACAAGTTAACTATTGTGATTTATAAATTTCGCGTCATGGCTAACGATTGAATCACATCTTTTGCAACTCCTTTGTTGATTGTAGACAAGTTATACTTGCAAACTGACTTTATACAGTGCATTAGTTTAATACACTCACTTAGTATGTAGTGTATTCATATAGCATGCATATGGCGCTCCGCTATAGTGTATTTATTTACAGTTGTGCACCGTCGACTGTATGCAAATTGCAATCATTTTTGTATTTGATCGAAAACTATCATTAGCTTGCACATTATCATCTGTAATCATTCCCAAGTCTTCTTGTATTTTGCTTGAAGGTGAATTGACATATGTATAGTAAGTCCATGTTCTTACTTGTTCACATTATGTTCATTAGAAATCATTTGAGTTTGAGTTATTGCTTGAGTATGTCCAAATCTCCTTTAGTCCAAATCAAGTTTTGGCTTGAGTCCAAGTCCAATCATAGTCCTTTGTTCTGTTGTTCAAGCTCAAGTCCAAATCAAGGTCCCATGTGGTCTTTTGAGTTTAAATCATGTTCGAGTTCAAAGCACAAGTTCAAGTCCAAAACATGTTCAAATAAAGTTCAGGCTCAATATGAGCCTCTTCCGTTCGTCGAGTCTCCTGTTGTTCAAGTTATGTCCTTCGTATTCAACTTTAAGTTCAAATTAAGTGCATTTAATGTTTATTCAATTTACAAGTCCAAGTCCTTATAATGTCCCTTGTTATTTTCCAAGTCCTTGTGTGCTTTAGTCCAAATTTCGGCAGCCTCTCGGTGTCTCCCCCGTTTAGGGGAAAATTCGAGAGACTAGCCTTCTCCTCATCGCTACTTGAGCGCTTCAGGTAGCTCTCAAATGACACCGCGACCACAAATTCTTCAATCCCCGCCCGCTACATGAGCGTTTAAGGGTCTTCAAATACCTGTTGAAAAGAGCACAAGAATTTTCCCACGTATGGGTACTTAGTTTTGTTCCCCTCACGCTACATGAGCGGTCCGGGGAGTACCCATCTTGTTGCGAGCGTCGCACTGGTTTCCCTCCCTACTACGCTACATGAGCGCATAGGGGGTTTGCCATCTCGTCACAAGCGTCAAGGACGGGTTTTTTTAGGTTAGAAACTTATACCTTTGCGAGGGGATGACGATGAAGGCGGGATGCACAAAAAAACATTTTTTTTCTTTTTTTTGTATTTTGCCTTCTCTTTTTTTTGAAACACTTTTCCTTTTTAATAATAATAATGGTAATAATAACCATTATTATTATTAATATTATCATTACTATAATAATAATAATAATAAAATTCTCCCTCTCCCTCTTTTTGTTGTGGCTCTTCACTAGTTTTAGCTGAAGAATTGCATGGAAGGGGAGAATGTCGTCGAAGCAAGTTAGGGTTCACAGCGGTAGGTGTTCGGCTATAGTGGAGGATTGGTCGGCCTTGGCTACGGTTAAGGATCACAAGGTGGAGGAAGGAGATCAGTAGTGAGGTAGGGATTTGTGTTCTCTCTCTCTCTCTGTCTCTCTCTCTCTCTCTCCCCTCTTGACCGAAGCCAAAGCTTGCGAAACAGGGAGGGATGGAGGTTGGTCGCAGAAGCTCGCGAGAGGGAGAACTTTGCCTTCATAGTGAGCGAGCTCACTTTGTTACTTTTGATTAGAATGTTGTAATGTCCAATCCAAAGAGAAAGGAACGTCGTCGACGGGAGGCTGAGGGCAGGGGCGTCGGGTTGGTTAGGAAGGAGATCGGAGTAGGCGAAGGTCTTCGGCTTGATGAATGGGGAATCAGCTAGGGTAGCTCTCGTGTGGATTTCAGTTTGAAGACATGAGAGGGGGCGGGTCTCGAGTGCTGCGTTCGCCTGGAAGAAACCCAAGCCGAGAGCTCTTCTCGTCATTTTATTGATGCGAACCAGAGAGCTCAGTGTGAATGGATCGAGATACGCGAGTATGGGCACCGTCTTCAGCGCTGATTTGCAGAGCACGGGCACTGTAGCAACGGCGGGTATGGACTGGATTCGGCACAAGTAATGATTTAGCTGATTTTTTTTTAAACTTGTTTTTGCTCTTTTCCTTTGGCTGTAGCTAAGGGGTCAACATACAATACTGATATATATATATAACCATAGGTAGTTATAGTTCTATGGTTCTGATTACATAGCAGAAAATAAACGGTTGCGATATATCAGACTGAAAAGGTTGCTGCAGAAGGTCGTGGAACAGAACACTTTTGATAACCAGAACTTTTTGATAACCTATCTTTTTGCATTTCTCTTATCACCGCCCCTCAAGTTACAATCGGGCTTCAATTGTTAAGTTGTTGGGCATGTGCATGAATCGAATAAATGTAAGAGGTTTGTAAATATATCTGTCGGTTTATCTTGAGATGCAATGTGATGAATGCTAATATATTTAGCCTTGATGCAATCACAAATAAAATGATAGTCAATCTCAATATGTTTGGTACATGCATGAAACAGGATTATTTGTTAAAGCAAGTGCTGAAATGTTATCACAATAAATAGGAGTGGGCTCAGTAGCAGAAATCTGAAATTGATAAAGTAAACGCCTTAATTACATTACTTCACTGGCAACAGTAGATAAAACCTGATATTCGGCCTTTGTGTAGGATCGAGCGGCTATAGTTTGCTTTTTTACCGACAAAGAAACTAAAGTAGAGCCAAAATAGACACAATAGCCGGTGATAGAGCGACCATCAATTTTGTCTGTAGCCCAATATGAATTTGAAAATGTGGTAAGCTGTAGGGCAGCAGCTGAAATCGGAAAACCATGCTGACTAGTGGCAAGCAAATAGCGAAAGAGTCTTTCAAGAGCTGAAAATGAAGAAGGAATGGCTTCTACATATGCTGCCATAGATAAATTGACAGCAAGCAAAGGATATGTCTGGAAAGAAGGGAAATATGAAAAGAAAATAAAAAGAGAAAATGGAGCACTTATTGTATTTAAAAAAAAAAGGGAGAAGAATAAGTAAAAGGAAAGAAGAAAAGGCAAACGAAGGGAAGTAGGTAAGAATAAAGGAAGAAGAAGGGAAGGAGAAGAAGAAGGGAAGGAGAAGAAGAAGAGAAGGGAAGGAAGAAAAAGAAAGAAAAGAGAAGGAGATATTTTAAGATTTTTGATAAAAATCTTATTTTAGTATTTTCATCCAAAATTTGAGTTTTTGAATGCTTGAATGAGGAGAAATTATTTTAAAGCAAAAATAATATTTGAGGTTAATGGAAGTAGCTTTTGAGTTGTTAATTTAAAATTTTATCTTAAATTGATAAAATTATTATTATAAGGTTGTTTATGAAAGAACATAACATTGAGGCGATAGAAATAAAAAAAAAATTCCTCATAAAAAATGATATATTAATTCAAGTGAGATACTCAATATCTAATATATGGTGCAAAATTTTCTTAGATATACTGTTGTTAATTTATATAGTCCTATTGAAAGACTATGGATGCAAGAATGTATTCTTCATATTGAGTGGCATGACTATATTAGGAAGTATAATGTATTTTATGAGATCACCTATTTAAATGAATTCAAGATATTTTAATAAGCTCAAATCATTAATCTATTTGATAGAATATAATATAATGTTTATTTATGCACATTGAGGTTGATTGTTACATATCATGTTTACTTTGACGAATGTTAAACAAATCTGTTGATAACAGTGAATATCAATGCCAAAAAATGTAATTATTGATAATAATGGTATTAAATTGAAAGAGGCCAAGGAAATGTCATGTCTTGTAAGATAGCCTGATAGATTCTAATGATCTATACGGTGAGGGAAAAAATTATGATGAGATAAGCCTTTATAGGGAAATAGAAAGGTTCTCAACTCGCGGTCATAGGAAGTTAATGCTATAAGATTCAGCCATGAGATCAGGTGGCCATTGATAATTGTTATGTTAGATTGTCCAAATTTTGTTAATGTTTTTTAAGGCCAATTGGCTATGTGACAACCCATGATATAAATGTGCTAATAACTTATACTTAATGATTTAAAACCTTACAGATGCATTTCATTTTCTTACAATACTCATGCCCATTACTTAAAAATTAGTCTTTTATTTCTTAAATATAAAAAGCAAGGTTTTGTAAAGTTTATCACTGCACTAAATTAGTTATATCTATAATCAGAAATGCTCATATTAGGTCAAAAGATTAGCATTTTTTTATTATTGTGAACCTTATATTAGAATTGTGAAATTGACCAAATGATCCCTTGATTTTTTATGAAGGATTAAAATGCTCCCCAATTATATTAAAGGATTATTTTGATCCTTAAAGTCTTTAAAGAGAAATCAAAATAGTCTTATGGTGGGACTGCTTTGGTTTCTCTTTAAAGAGTTGAGGGACCAAAACGATCCTTTAATATAATTGGAGACTATTTTGATCTTTTATAAAGAGTCAAGGACCATTTTGGTCTATGCATCATAATTGACCGGAGAGGGGAGAGGGGTCAAAATGTGCTTTGCCAAATTACCAGCAAATATGCATTCATACAGTTGAGATGACAAAATAGTCTGGAAAGACTTTCTTGATAATATTTTTAGCTTAAAGTTTTACTTTGCATTTCTATGTTCTTTCTTGTACATTTTAGTATTTGACAAAACTTCTATGCAGAAACAGTGAAGAAGGAATATTTGGATGATAATAAGGACACAATTACTCACTCTGCTCAAAGAGATACCATTTCCCTATTGAAACTAATCCTGCTTGGATATGGTAAATGACATATATCTTGCATTGTTTCTCATTCATGAATTTCAACTATATTTTATGTAAGTTATAAATTATTGGATATACACTCCTTACATATCCTCGCGATGCCAGGGAAAAGAGGGAAAACAAAATTGGGATTAAATATAACTTCTTTAATCTCTATGCATTTGTTGCCCGAAATATATGACCTCTTGTTTGATCTCTCTATGCATTTGCTGCCTGAAATAGTTTCATGACTTTATATCGTTTGAGCTCATCATTTTCATCCTCTCTATATAGGTCTTTTGATGAATCATGAAAAGGTCCTTTGCCTAACAAATCAGAGAAAGAGCTAACGAAAGTAAAGCATGCTTGCCAAGCCTTCTCATCATATTTTCAAATGCCAGGAAAATTGTGGCTCGTTTCTGTGGAAAATATTCGTCTTCAATGGCTCCAGAAATCTGTAGAGCTGACTGTTATGGAATTGTTATTCCATATGATCCCCTTTAGCTTTTGTAGATTATTATGTAATTATATTTTTTTTGTAATACCCAAGTGGTTCTTCTTGGGCAAATTTGCAAGAGTTGCACCACTCTTGCAAATGTTTTTAGCCAATTTTTGATAATCTTTACTTCCTCTTCATTATGTACATGATAATTATTAGTCTTTGAACACAATTTTGTTTAATAATTTTGAAAGAAGATTGATCTCTACTTCTTAATTTAGAAATTCATAAATCATGACCATTGTCCACCTTCATGCAAATCAACAATTAGAGGTGCAAAATGCCAATTTTTAGTGAAATTATTAGGTGAAGACAAATGTATCTAGAGCTAGTTAGTTGATCATGAAATAATAAATAGTTGTGTACTATATTTTGCACAAACTTTTGGCTGGTGGTTAGTAGATATTACTTGATGATGCTATCTGTACATAATATTTTCTCTGATAATGAATTTGACATGAAAATTTTGCTCAAATTTTTGGGCCAATTTGTGCTAAATTCAAGATGGATTCGGATTGGTTTAAGTACCATAACAATAACAACAAGCTTGTAGTTTACTATGTGGAGGCCGCTTCATAAATTCTTATCTTAATTGTATTCTATTAAGAGTCAAAAGTTTTTGTTAGTTCTATCTATTTTTTTTTTTTTCTAAATATAAGTCCGATTTAATACATCTATTTTTCTTACGGGCTCATCGAAAGATTGATATTTTTATGTGATCAAATCATATTAGGCGACTATAATATTATTTGATATTGGTGCTACGCCAACATTTTTACAAACTATCGTTAAGTGTAAAGCGTAAAGCGCTTGTTCACTTGAGCATCCTCATCTCTACAATACTTTACTTTATTTTATGCTCCTCTTTAAATGGCTATTATTTTGCATCATAAATAACTGTAGGTCTAATCAACCATCTCAGATTACTTTTAACTTAAACAAAAAAAAAAGTCAAAAGTTATTTATGATGAGACTGAAAATAATGACAACATTGGATTCTTCCCTTCCAATTAAAAATTCATATTAAATTGATACAGCTATCTACCTAAGTGACCTTGCTCTTCACTGTATTATTTTTTTCTTCATTTTTTTTTTTTGGAAAATTTTCTTCAATATTTTTAAAGCCTTAATTATCTTTTTTGGCTTAAACTGTAAATTTGATTTTTCTCCTCTTTCTCAAATAAGAATTTATGTGTACTATCCATCTATTAATTTCACTTTTATATTTTAAACTAAGCATCTTATTAAGATTACAAAAAAGTCTTACAATCAATTTGAACATATTTTATCCATGATTCCTTAGATTTGCCGCTTCTCTCCTTCCTATCATCTAACACATAATCTATATGCTCATGCCTCAATTATGCTTCGTTTGGAACGGCTTTCATACTACTTCTTATAGTAGCTTTTTAATAAATTTTTGTACTAAAAAATTATTTTAAGAAATAATAATGAAAGCCGTCCCAAATGAAGCCTGTGAAGAGTAAGTATTTGTTTGCACTAAACTCTTCTCCTTTACAGAAAACCCTAAGCGACCATGCATTTATGTGGATCATAATTGCACTAACCCTAGCAATTAAGTAGCAAGTGGGTGGATTAATGGCAAATCCAAACAATAATTGGATTAGTAACCATCAGAAAATAAGTCAAACGTCAAATCTGTACCAGAAAAACAAAGATATATAATTCAATGCCAATAATTAATAACAAAGCACCATTACTTTTCCTAGACTTGATCTTATGGTTGCGGATTAAAAGCAAAGCAGGAAGAAAATTGTATCTAATGAAGCATTAATAACAAAATTTTATTATATTCTCATAATTAATAAAAATAAAAAATAAAATAAAAATATTATTTTAAACTTAGATTTATTAGAAAAAATGAAGAAATGCTCTCTCTGCATCATCTGCATTCACATTTATCAAGTATTTTTATGTGCCACAACTGTCCATTGGAGACTTTTTACTGCTCTTATATATATTTTTGTTGAATTAGATATCACTCATAATTTAGATAAAAGTTTAAACAGTTATTGATGATGGTTTAACTGAGAAGATTGATCTAACTTTGCTCAATCAGATGTGATATTTCCTTAATTACTTTTATGTTTGCAGTCTTTTCTGTACTAAATTTATTTATTTCCACATAATAAAAACCTTCCTTGTTGATTTTTTAAAAATAATAACAATAATATTGATGAACCACCATTACTGTAGTACTACTCGAGCATGTGAGCTGATTAATAGAAGGTCCTAACAATAAACTATATTAATGATATAAACTTCAATAGCCTTAATAAGAAGGTGAGGGCTCTGCACCGTTTGCTGCACTCCAAAAACATAAATAAATAAGTACTAAAGAAAAAGCTATAACAAACATTTAAAATTAACCTAGCTAGCTATATACATGCTTGTTTTGTTGATTAAATTGATAATTTAAACATTAAAAGTTAATTAACATCAATTATGAAAGAAAAGGATAGGCTAGCTGTTGATAATTAAGCATGCAATTCCTGGTCTCTATGAGAATGTTGATGATTTGGACACCGAGTTGGAGTTGATTTGTTGATGGCATGCAATGACAGTGACAAACATACAGATCAAATTTCATTAATGACATTAATTCAATTTGCAAATTGCATGCAGTCAACCTTTTCATGACGTCTTTTGCTACAGATTATTATTTTTATCCATTGTAAGACATTACAGGAAAATCGTCTGTTACCGGCGACGTTTTCCAGAAGTTTATCTCTATTTCCCGGCAGTTCTGAATTTTTCTTGCGGTTTCAAAACCGCTGGAATAAACAGCGTAGGAAATGAAAACCGGCGGTAATATTTTCAATTAGCTAGTTGTGATATCTACCAAACCATCTTCAATTAGCCATTTCATCGATCAATTATTATATATAGATCAATGTTCACTGCAGTTTATATATGTAAATGAACCTAATTAAAATGTATTTATATCAGTGAGTTATAGCTGTTAATTAATGAGAAGGATTACCAAATCCTTCTTTACAGCTCTAAAATAAATTCACAATAGCATCCACCCCGTGTTTCATTATTGATGAGGTCACAAGAACTTGCAGGCCAGCAAATATGGATGGAGAATTAAATACAAGTTTTTTTTATTATTTTTCAGAATTTTTTGTCATGAGAGTGAGCTTTTCAAGTCATATCTACTTGGAGTCTGGTACATGTAAGAAAATTATTAATAATTATTATTTTGATTTCTTCTAAATGTATATTATAATACTTTAACAAATTTGAAAAACTCAATTTTTTTTTTTCCTTTTTCACGTACGATAGATAGTTTTATTACAAATTTAATTTGAAGTTAGTTGCAGCTGTTCCAAAAGAAAAAAAAAAAAAATCTGGCAAACCTGTTTGACGACGGGCATGCATGCACATTGCATGGCCATCAAAACCTTTTCACTTTAGCTTTTGGTTCATACAGATAGAAATGGAGCCTCCTCCTTCACCAAAAGTATTGAATAATTAATGATAAGGTTTGAAAAGAAGATGCAGATATATTTATGAGAGCAATGAATCGACATAAATAGCCAGGCAGCCAGCCTGCTCTTCCATGGCCGAAAGAGCAATCCAGCCTCCACTTCAATATTGCTTAGCTCTTTGATCACTATAAGGTGATAGCTAGATTGTTATAGCTATATGGCTTCAACTTCTTCCTCTCTCATCTCCCTTGCAACTTGTTTAGTAATTCTGGGGAACTTATTAGCACACAGTACTGAGGCAGCTCGAGCATTCTTTGTCTTTGGAGATTCGCTCGTCGATAATGGCAATAACAACTATCTTGCGACGACAGCTCGAGCAGACTCTCCTCCTTATGGCATCGACTACCCAACTCATCAACCCACAGGGAGGTTCTCTAATGGCCTCAACATTCCTGACATTATCAGTACGTACTCATTATTACATATATACTTTTATTTTATGAAGAAAGACTTAATGCATGCATGAGCAATTTGAAGGAGAAGCTGATGAAGCTAGAATGAATGGTTTCAGGTGAGCACCTTGGTGCTGAGTCCACCTTGCCATACTTGAGCCCTGCGCTGAGAGGACAAAAGCTTCTCGTAGGCTCCAATTTTGCATCAGCTGGCATTGGAATTCTCAATGACACTGGAGTTCAGTTTGTAAGCTTGCAATATATATATTACCAATAAAATTTATCAAATTATTGAATTTCAGTCACTACTGATCGATAATTACTAAACATTAATGTTCTCAATTAATTTCAGGCCAATATAATCAGGATTTCACAGCAACTGGAGTACTTTCAGCAGTATCAGCAGAGGCTGAGCGCATTAGTTGGCGCAGCAGAGGCTAAGAGAGTGGTGAATCAAGCACTTGTTCTGATAACTCTCGGTGGCAATGACTTCGTCAACAACTATTACTTGGTTCCTTTCTCTTTCAGATCTCGTCAATTTTCTCTGCCGGATTATGTCCGTTACCTGATATCTGAGTACAAGAAGATTCTTATGGTGAGTACTTATTTAGGGTTTAGTTGAATAAAAGATTGTTTTTTATTTGATGCGTGGAAATGGAGATGCAGAGGATTTATGAGCTGGGAGGGCGGCGCGTGCTGGTGACGGGGACGGGGCCGCTGGGATGTGTTCCGGCGGAGCTGGCGCAGAGAAGCAGAGACGGCTCATGCGACCCTGAGCTGCAGAGAGCCTCCGCACTGTTCAATCCGCAGCTTGAAAAGGCAATAAATCAGCTCAATTCCAAGTATCGTTCCAACGTCTTCATTGCCGCCAACACGGGCAAGACGCACGCCGACTTCATTTCCAATCCTCAGGCTTTTGGTGAGACGACTCCTTTTCTTTCTTTTATTTATGGTGTAAGCTAGTTAGGACAAATTATTTTGTGCGGAGGCTGAACGCCGTTCAAGATCAACTAGAGTGGGCCATGTCATCTCCTGCTCGGTCCTGTTCGGTTCCGTGGCTCGGTAATGTTCGGTATCCGGCTCGGTATTATTGATGTGACGTATTCAGGTTGGTCTTCGGACAATAAACTACGTTCGAGGTCCGCACAAAATAATCTTTCGTAAGTTAGGGTTCGACCAAGACGGCAACTGACTTTTTATTAAAGTGATTATAAAATTCGTATAAAAAATAATTTTTTTAAAAGCTATTATTGAAATTAGGTTCCTAACTATCACAAAAAAAATTCTTGAAGCCAATCGAAATGAAAATTATATTTGAGATATGAAAAACAAAATAGTAAGAAAGTTGTTTGAAACAAAGCCTCATCAAAGTGGATTTGTGAGCCAATTTGTCAATTGAGTTTGGCTTGATAAATGGCTCGTGAGTCGAGCCAGATGAACTAAAAGCTAAACTTGAGCTAGCTTCGACTCAACTGATTAGTTTACGAGCCGGCTCGTTTTAAAGATACTAATAAAAAATAAATGTAAAATACATTAAAATTAAAGTGATCAAGTACAAGGCTATTATAAAATTTTAAAATAATATCTCATTTTCTTATATCTAAGAGATGTATTCTTCTTTATTTATTTATATTCCAATTCCTCAAATTTTTGTTATTTTATTATAATTAATAATTATTTGAATCATAATCATTTTATCTCTTTCTTTATAAACGCATGCTCGAGCTCAAACTCCATTAATTAATCAATCTCAAGCTAACTTGAGCTCAGCTCGACTTGTTTACCCTCCCATCCACTTTTATTTATTTATTTATTTGAAGCAATATGAATTGAAATATGTATTTGTTTAATTTTTCAGGTTTTATCACATCCAAGAGAGCTTGCTGTGGGCAAGGGCCCTACAATGGGCTGGGCTTGTGTACTGTGGCATCTAATCTGTGCCCAAATAGAAATTTATATGCATTTTGGGATCCATTTCATCCATCAGAGAGAGCAAACCGGATAATTGTTAGCCAGTTCATGACCGGTTCAACCGAGTACATGAACCCAATGAACCTGAGCACCATACTAGCAATGGATGAAAGCACCTAGCTAATTAATGATGATATAATTAGCATTAATTACTATCTCTATATGTTGATGAAATAATATCATGTATTAATTAATCTCCTTTGTTCCCTCTTAATTTGAGGTGTTTATGTCTAAATAATGAATAATTTGATGAGATTAATATTGTTTTATGAAGTAATTAAAATGTAATGTACTGTTGAGAGGAATTAATTAGCTAAAGTTTAAGGTTTATTTGTGTTTGTAATTGTGGTGTGTGTGTCAAGAAAGTGTTGTAAGAACTCCTTGAAGTATCATTTTATATTGAAATGAGAAGTTTTTTTTATATATTTTTAAATATTTAATTTCATCTTTGATTAATTTGATCTATAAATTAAATTTGAGATTTTTGTGTCTTCATTAATGATAGAGATATGAACTAAATTTTGTTTAATTTAATGTGTATTTTTTTTTAATAGAGAAAAACTGTAATTATTTTTTACAAATGAATTGTTTGAGATAGCACTCATTAGATCTTATAATATATAATATAATATATATATATATATTACTATATATATATAATATTATATAATATATATATATCTGATATATATTAATATATATATATATAAGTAATATATATATTAGTTTTTGCATTTAATTTTAAAGATAATAAAAAGAGATTTTATATACATACACTTAAAACTATTCTATTTTACATACCTAACTCTAATTACTATTTACTTATCTACTCCACCGCCTATTTAACCTTATTTTTGTATGAGGTTAACCAAGCCATAAAAAATGAAATGCAATTCAAACCCAAATTATATCAAGTCAAATTCCAATCCAATCAAACCTATATTAACTAAAAGTGGAAGTCACATATGTGGCTACCATTTGGATCTCGTACTCTAATTCGGTAACAATCTACCTAAATGATTTGGCCATAATGATATGTGTAAATCAAATTCAATCAACAAATCAAGAACCAAAACAAGTCGCAAATTTCATTAAAAAAAAAAAAAAAAACCCTAATTGCCATAAGCGACTATTTTGAGTGATTTTTAAATTATCTCAAAACAAAACCAAATAACCTTGGAATCATAATTTGTCAATTTCATATTGATTAGACATGTACTTGGGGCCAACCCTTCAAATTTGAGAGCAATCCAAGCTTTCTAAAACCAAAAATTAAATTGAATTCTAAAAGTTGTAAAACCTCAAAAAAATTATAGCCCATGCCACTAAACCATGCATCATATAGAAATAAGTCTTAGAATCCTCCCCAACACCTCTGAACATGTTCATGACATGTTAAACTAGAATTGTGCCTTTGTTGGCCCTTGGTTGACTATTATTGACCATAAGACCACTCAAACACCAATAATATTGAACAATAATTAATTGGCAAAACACATTGTCCTTTTACAGTGCACTAACCTTCTTGATTTTAATCATTGTTCAAATCACCTCACTAGGAGCTTCATATAGCAAACCACTCATTAATGGACCCTTCAATCATTAATTGACTCATTTGATCCTTTCGGGCTAGCCCAAATTAGCTCAATTGATCATATATCCTAGTTCCTGTTGACCTCATTTTTGTATGAGGTCACTTTTAACTCCTCCCTGAGTCCTAGATCCTAGGATCTTCCTAGTTCCTAGCCCTTAGGCTCAATCCAAATCTTAACTCAATCCAAACCCAAAACTCTTAGGCTAAAGACTTAGGTCCTAAAGCCCTTTCTAAGTTATTTTTCCATCACATTGAAACCCAGTCAATTGACATCTGATTCAGTGTCTATCAATCTCATATTGATGTGACATGTCTCTAGTGTCAACCCTCTAAATTTGAGCTCATTTGAAGGACTCTAACCCTTTAAACTTATCCAACTCCAAATGTCACAAAACCTTTGAATATTTACAATCCATGCCACTAGGCCTTTCACCTAGTGGAATTTGACTTTGGATCCCCCTCCAAATCTTTTGATCCCTCCTAATACCTTGATATTGACTTATTAAGCAATGCTCTACATCTTTTAAGATTCATTTTGACCCAGAATTGACTTGAATCCAAAATGACCAAAATGCCATTAAATGGGGATTTTTGGACTTTTGGTCTAAACTCAACTTGATTTGACTTATCAACCTTTGAAATCTTCTTCAAATGTCATTCCAATGGATCCTAAATGACTTTAGGAACACATTAAACCCAAACTTACTCTTTGATTTGACCTGGTTGACCAAGTCAACCCTTTAACCCAACACTTACCAATTTTATCAATTCAAGTGATTTTGAAGTAAAACTTGAGTAAAATCTGAAGTAAAACTTGAGTAAAATCAATAAAATCTAAAAAAACTGTGAAATCAGTTAATCTTTAATATCCATAGCATAAAACATAAAGTAAAATCAGTAAAATTTGAAATAAAATGGTTATAAATCAATAACTCCAGCACTACAAATAATTCAGACCATGCAAGTAGTCAAAATATGCAAGGGGAGGACTCCTCGGTTTGGTTGTTCGCACGAGACGAAGTCGTCAGGAAGAAGATAAGTTTCGGCACGCTTTGATTGTTCGCATGAGATGGCAAAGGAGGTTTAGATTAGGAAGACACTTGCTCGAACAAAGAAGAAATATGGGTTTGAGCGCGAAAGGCAGGGTCGGCACATAGGGCTTTTGATGATAGTAAAAGAGTGGTAATTCAAATGAATATAATGATATTTTGGTGGTAGATTGGTAAACAATAAGATTTGGATGTTGGGTTTGTAAATATAATAGTTTTAGATGTTATGTACGTAAAATTTTCATTTGAAAATAAAAAAGATTTATATGAAGAGAATTTATTGCTCTTTATCATTTCTTTTTCAAAATAAATGTTTAATAATTTAGTGCTAAAAAAAATCTTATTGATCAATTAATAATTTTGTAGTGTTTAAAATAATAACATGATAGGTCAATAAATAAAAAAATTATCAATATAGTGCATAACATTAAAATTTAAAAGTGCACAAATGAATGGCCGAATAAAATATTATTTTGAAGATGAACCTTACTAAGAAATTCCGAGTTAATTTGCAAAATGGCAATCAAAGCCCTCTTCTCCTCTCCAAAACCGTTCACGAAGGCAGCGAGAAATTAGAATTGGTCAATGTCTTCTCACTCCATCACCATTCCATTCCACCTTTGAATTTGAACGCCGCCAGGTACCGATCTTCTTCCTCCATCCCTTCTAATCCAATGCCCTCCTCTTCCTCTTCTTCCTTTCCTTGACCCCCTCCCACCAAACCCTAACCCTCGAAAACGAGCGATGCCGAGCGTCGCCGTGAAGCTCTACAGCGTATTCTTCAAGCTCCTGCTCAAGCACCGCCTGCAGTCCCGCGTTGACGCTGTGGCTGACGAATTCGGCATCACTTCCCGCCCAGAGGAGTCCACCGAGCCCGCAAATCCATCCTTTGCCGCCGACGGAGTTGCTACCAAGGATATCCACATCGACCCCCTCACCTCCCTCTCCCTCCGCATCTTTCTCCCGGATCCGTTCCACGAGGCCCTCCCCACCTCCGTCAAGACTACTTTTTCCTCCAATCCCGACCTCTCCCTCCGCGCCAACGGCCTCTTTGCGGGCGCCTCCACCGTCGCACGCGACCGTCGCAGCTACGAAGGTCCCGGATCCGCTGCTGCCTACCGAGGATACCTACCTTCTCCCGTTACCCGCCACCACGCTTTCTCGCGCCGTCTCCCGGTGATCTTGCAGTTTCATGGGGGCGGATTTGTTTCCGGTAGCAATACATCTACAGCGAACGATTTATTCTGCCGTAGGATCGTGAAGTTGCTCGATGTGATTGTGATCGCCGTTGGCTACAGGTTGGCTCCAGAAAGTAGGTACCCGGCGGCTTTTGAAGATGGGATCAACGTGCTGCATTGGCTGGCCAAACAGGCCAATTTGGCTGAATGTAACAGGTCGATTGGAAATCACCGTGGTGGTGATGCAAGGAAAATGGATACGCAGAGGCATATTGTAGATGCGTTCGGGGCTGCTACGTTGGAGCCCTGGCTAGCGACTCATGCTGATCTCTCGAGGTTTGATTTCGGAGCTTACCTGCTTATTCCAGCTCTCTTTGGTTGATTTGCTTCTCATTTTAATTGTTAGTTTTCGTTAGACAATTTTGTGAACAAAAGGAGTTTATATTAATCTTCCTTATGTTTTCCTTGGAAGATGTTATTAGGAGCAAATATGATTTAATGGTTGTATTTACCTTTTATGGTTGAAAACAGAGTAATAACAAATCACTGAAAAAGGTTGGAAAGCTTTTATCCTTAATGAATCTTATATATTCTTCCAAGCTTTTATCTTGATCTTCTTATTACGTTGGAAAGCTTATTGTGAAGGGTTCTTTTTGCAATCTATAGAAACAATTCAAATGTTACGCTTCCTGTGCTTAATTAAAAAAAAAGAAGTTATAACAATTAATATCTAGCTTGCCATGATTTGATGTTAGAAGACTAGTATAGTTCTATCATTTAAAAGATAACTCAGCAAAAAATATTTTTAAGAATACCTTGACTACGATGAAATATAATAGGTGAAAGTTACTCATGCTTGCTAGTTTTTTAATATATGGTGAGTAATATAGCTTCTAGGCTGGAGGGGTATCATGTGAAATGGGAATATCGTGGAGATAAAATAGGAAGTGAATGGATTTGAACGATGCATTTTAAATTAGAAATGGAGATCTAGAGGAGGGGGAACATTACAATATGTCAGAACTCACAAATCAAGTTATTCGTAAAGCTGATCTATTTTCTAAAAGGCATGGGAGGATTGATGTTCATTTGATGATAAATGAACAAACTACTACTTGAGCTTGTTGGGTTAGTGAATGAACCTATTTGATTTGTGCAGTCACGTCTTTACACTATCCTTCTAGCAAAAATTATACTGGTAGTTCATGTTATCAGGGGAGTGAGGTATTTTTTTAATCTAGGAAGCTTTTCCAACCTATTAAGACATTTTGTCCTAATTCTTTCCTTTAAGACTTTAACAATAGCTTTCTTGTTTTTGAAATATGTTGAAGTGAAGACACCCATAAGAATTGATTATGCTTGATTTATGATATCCATAATAGAACATTCCCTTTGGAATAGACTAATTAATTTGTTTGTCTTTTGAAGTTATGCTTAACCCGATTAATGAAAGGAGGCTTGTAGATGATGCTAATGTTGTTGCAACCTTTTGAAGTTGCACTTTATTTTTCATGTATGTGGTTATACTAGCCTAAATTATAATGAGTCAATCATGCAATATAAATTTGGTTGTTGGGTGACGAAGAAGTCATTGATAACCACATAATAAAATGAAAAGGTTAGGATGGATGCATAGTACAGCCAAAAAGGGTATGCTCAGAATTGATTTTTAGGTGATATAGGATACTGTTATTTATTTTTTTTTTATTTTTTTAGGATACTTTTATTTATCATTTCATCATTTGCCTTATTTGGACCTATATCATATTTTGACGTGTAAACATCTATCGTATTTGGATTAGTCATGTAATAATGATATAATAAAGTGTTATTTTATTTAAATGATCCTTTCATTCAATAATTTTATTTTTTTGAAAGATTTTGGATTAATTTATTTTGATTATAATTGGATTACATTCCTTAGATTACTTTCCTTTTTTTTTTCTTTTGGTTTCATCATATATAAAATCTTATTTATAAATAAAGGATGCTTTTAAGGGATTATGAATGAATGATCAATACAATTATTTGTAAGAAAAAAGCTCTCTCCTAAGGATAGCGGTCCCCTTTACTTTTCCTCGCTCGTCCCTCTCTGTCTCCCTATCTGATGAGTTATTCATATGTTTCTAATCGATGGAGTGCTTTAATACAAGCTTTCTTTTGTATCTATTAAGCCGTTCCATCATAGGAATGGTTCTTATCAGTAGGAGTGAACATTAGTTCGCGCTAACACCTCATGCACTACTCGACGAGAATAGTGAAGAATGTGGATTCATCCAAGTTTTTTTTGAAGTAGTTGGGACAAGTCTAATGCTAATAGTAGACAAATTAAGTTCTCTTCATAGTAACTATGAATTCTAACACTTGAATTGACAACATTTCTACACTTTACTTTGCTTCTAATCAATAAAGGAGTTATTAGTTTGTTGTTCATTTGTTATCCTACTGTACATGCCCCGCATATGCTCTCACCGTAACTCTTTTGACAAATAAGTTCTCTCTGAAGTAAAACTAAATGCTTATTTTTCACTTTGTAGACAGATTAAAATAACTGTCCTTCACTGTTCTGAGTTATGCAGAATGAACTAGGTTCTACAACTTGTGAATTCTCGCTGTTATTTGTAGTTGGCTACTTTCTGTGAGATCACTGTTCTCAGTTAAAGCAGGTTAGGCTGACTTATGTAAATTCAACACACTCATCACTTATTTAGGTTTATTTGCTATTTGCTGGAAAAGATTTGGCCATTTGCTTATCAACGTATCTCAGGTGGAGAATGAGTTACAGAGAAAACTGTTCTATCTGTTAAATTCACTGAATTGCAATTTGGAAACTCCCTAGCTTAGCAATTCATATTCATCAGGGCAGCTTGTTTCTGGCATGCATGCTGAATGAGATTCAATTATAGTTTTTATTTTCTGCATGCATAAAGGGTTGATTAGCCTCCCACACAATATTTAAAGGGTTGATTAGCTAAAAATTTTTTTTAGTGATCTGAACACATGCAAATAGAACAATTTTCATGCTTAATTAGACTTGACGCAGCTGTTGAAAAATTAACTATCATGATTTTTTTTTGCTTACAAAAACTTGAACATGATCTCACAATAACAAAACATCAAAGCCTATGTCCCACTGTGGGATCGATTACATGAATCCTTTTTCTTCATTGTGTCATGTTAAAAATCAAATTCTCGTTTAAATCTAATAAAGAAAATCATTTCTAATATTTTCTAACCAAGTCTTTTTAGGTCTAACTCTACCTTTCTTAACATAAGTCAAATCTAATACCTCTACTTTCCTAACCGGGTAGGAAGGCTGCCGTTTTATGTGACCAAACCATCTAGGGAGACTCTCTCTAATCTTATCTTCCACTGGAGCTACTCCAACCTTTTCACGTATATGCTCATTTCATATCCTATCTCGAAGGGTAACTCATCCACCTGAGCATCCTCATCTCTGCAACACTTAAATATGAGTGGTCATTAATCAGCAGGGTGTGCTTAAACTAAATGAATCCAACATTATCTCTTTGCTTTCTCATATGTGTCAATTGCCAGATGAGGCTACTTATCACCTGAAGTTTAACCCTAGTGACTTCTAAAAATATACTCATGCATGGTTGAATACACCTTAAAAAAAATGCATAGGTGAATACACCTTAAGTCAACTAACTAAGATTTGTGGGGCTTAGTTTTAACATAGGCCCTGCTAATTCAAGATCTCAATTATGCTAAATATTTTGATCCCTTGACCTAATTATACTCGACTGCTACATAGCAAGCATCGACATTGAGAAGACTTATACAGTAATACTTTCTTAGGACTTGCATGACCTTCTTCCTCACAAATCTATATATTCTCTTCCATTTTGCTGTTGCCAACATCTCTTGTAACTCTCCAAAAATCCTAAACCGAAGTGTTTAATAAAATAAGCAAAGAAATATCTCAACGTCTCCTTTCATTTTACTTTATCGACAACAAAAACAACAACAATATCAAGCCTTTATCCCACTATGTGGGGTTGGCTACATGAATCTTTTTTATCCATTGTGTTCTGTTAAGAGTCAAATTCTCATTTAAATCTGATAAAGAAAGGTCATTTATAATATTTTCTAATTAAGTCTTTTAAGGTCTACTCTACCTTTCTTACATAAGTCAAATCTAATACATCTATTTTTCTAACCGGGTCATCGGAAGGAGCTAACAATCTAAGGTGGCTCTCTCTAATTTTATCTTCCAATGGAGCTATTCCAACCTTTTCACGTATATGCTCATTATACTGTCTCTAAGAGTAAAGCCACTCATCCAACTTTCTTTTTACTTTATCATATGGAAAAAAAATTATCTCATTGTTTATTAGCTGCATAATTTGTTTGCAATTCGTGGCAGATCTAGCCTGAATTAGAATGACTTTGTATTGTAGAACTTTAATCTTTTTGCATAACTTCATTACTAAAACCATTTAGTTTGTAGAAATTCTCATTATCATACTAGGTGTGCTTTGTTGCGCTCGGCGTTTGTCCAATTAGAAATGACCTTCTTGTTTGAATTATTGTCTGTCATGGGCTCATAAACAAGCACCATAACTTTATGCACTTACACTGGTAAGAAGGTAGTCTGATTAAAAGTTTATAGCTTTCAAAACTAAACTAACCAAAACAATATTTGGGATATGTATTAACCATTGTTTCTCACAAAATGTTAGATTGAAATGATAATAAAATCTGATTAAAAATTTGAGGTTGCCAGCCAGTGCATTGCTTCTGGTCAATTTGAAGTGAAATGTTTAACCACTTTATCACATCGAACAAAGGACAGTTTTCCCAAATAATTTAGCAGGCAATATGGATAACACCTCAATTGCAGAGTTATCGGTGATATTGACAAAGGATTTGGAGGTGGTTTTGAAACAACTGGAGTTGGTAGGAGTATGACAGGGGGAGAGAGGAAGTAAGGAAGTGCTGATTAAGTGGGAGAACCTACCTGAGTACGATGCCACTTGGGAGTCGTATGAGAGGATGAAGCATCAATTTCCGGCCTTCCATCTTGAGGATAAGGTGGTTCTTTGAGATGGAGGTATTGTTAGATCATCCCAAGAGGGGATTGATTCGATCGATCTAGAAGGGAGAGAGAGGGAGAGGGTGGATGAGTGGGAGATTTGAATCTGAAGGGCTGTTTGGACTTTAGCTTTGTATTATTTGCTTTTAATAGTTATTCTCTTTTTAGGGTTAGGTTATATTGAATGTTTACTGAATTTAGGAGTTCTTGAGGTTTCCTTGGGCTCTAGCCACCGGCTAGGGATTTAGGAGAGCCCGATCTTCCTCTCGAATTGAAAATCCATTATACCTTGTTTGTTTTCTTCTACTTTTCACCTATTATTAAGTTTTCCTATTAATTTGCCAAGGAATTTCTGCAAATTCCTGCTTTGTTCTTGCTGAAATTCCATATTTCAGCCACTATTTTTGTGATTTTTGCACTTGTTTCCTATCACTTTGATATGATATAACAGTCCTACCACATGGATGTGGTTACTGTCGCAGAAAAGGTTTACTTCAATCAAATTCAACAGGAAGAACGATGTCGAACTGTCCTCACTTCTGATCCAAAAGAAAGGGCGTCTTCAAATCGTCAAGTCTTACGTGGCTTTCGAACCAACAGAGAATGTCGTCGAACTGTTTTGACTTTCAATCGAACACAGAGCGTTGTCGACAAAGGTGAAAAAGCTTTTAGCAAATCGTTCGAAACTCTACCTTGTATGCAGTAGACGACGTCGAACAGCGGAGTGAACCAAGGTTTAACGGTTACATTTAACCTTTAAAATGTTTTTTTATGCATTCAACTTAGGCAAACACCTCACTCATATAAATGAGGCGCGCCTCAGAAAATTCAAGGCGCACACCTCCCGTAAGCTGCTAGAGGCGTTTGCCTCGACTGATTCCGAGCGGAAATTACGCTGAGGCGTGCCTCAAGTTGCGCAATTTTAAACAGTGGGCATATATCATGCATATAACTTCCTGATGAAGTCTGTCCAACAGCTATGTGGTAGGACTAAAGAAAAATATTATTGTAACCATGTAGAGGTTAAGGCTTGTTGAGATCAGCAGAAAGTTAATCTAGCATAGACTTTATTACGGTCAATTAGTATGTTTATGAAACCTTACTTTTCAAATTAATGATTTACCTAAGAGCTGATGTTTTATGAAACATGACACTCACACTGGCAATTTATTGATGCTATAAAAAAATTTTTTTTACTATGCATGATAAGAAAACTTTGTTAGGAGATAATTTGACGGCCATTCATGAGAACTTCTGAAAGTACTTATTTAGTAACTAAACTTCCAATGACGATCCATAAATAATATCTGCAGCCTTACTCTAGAAAGGTGTCATAATTTTCTGATTATTTGTTCATTCTTATAACATATATATTGTTTTCTGGTTGTGAAACCAACTTCTAGTTTCACACAGATGTTATGTATATTAAATTCGTGTCTGTCACATGTAGATACCCACGGAGTGATGATTGTCTTGTTTTTTTATACAACTGTAAGAAACTCCCGACTAAATTGGTTAGTGTTTTTGTTATGCTGACGGAAATATGAAGACATTGTACGGGGTGATTATGTGAGAAGCTGAGTATATAATTTATGTGGAATAGTAAAAAAAATGGATTAATCTAAAGCTAACATGGTTAGAAATTCTGCAAGTTATTTAGGTTAAATGTTAGCCAAATCAGCTTTTCAATGGTGGGGGATTCCTGAAGCCCTTTTGTATGGGATGATAAGGTTGAAAAAGTACTGAACTGTTTTGTAGTTTGGATAATAAGCCTTACATGGTTTCCCTTTATTTTAGACGAGGGGGTGATTACTGATTGAAGATCTTGATTGTTTTAGTCTTCAGTTTGAGTTCTCTTTGTAGAACTCTAACATGTTTTCTTCTCTATAATTTGGAGCTTTATGTTGTTTAACAATGATAATTATGTACTAACCACATGATTCTTTTGCGTCAGAACAGATGTGTTCTCCTCGGTGTTAGTTGCGGTGCCAACATTGCTGATTTCGTCGCACGGAAGGCATTCGAGGCTGGAAAACTCCTTGATCCTGTCAAGATAGTTGCACAGGTTCTCATGTATCCCTTTTTTATAGGAAATGCCCCAACCCATTCAGAAATAAAGCTTGCAAATTCTTACTTCTATGACAAAACCATGTGCATACTTGCCTGGAAGCTCTTTTTGCCTGAAGAAGAGTTCAACTTCGACCATCCAGCAGCGAACCCCCTTATACCGGGAAGGCAGCCGCCACTTAAATTCATGCCACCGACACTCACTGTGGTTGCCGAACATGATTGGATGAGAGACCGAGCAATTGCATACTCCGAAGAGCTCCGCAAGGTGAATGTGGATGCTCCAGTTCTTGAGTACAAGGATACAGTTCATGAGTTTGCTACACTTGACATGCTCCTTAAAACCCCACAGGCTCAGGCCTGTGCTGAGGATATAGCAATCTGGGTAAAGAAGTACATATCAACTAGAGGTCATGAGTTCTCATATTAGATTGTTTTTGGAACCTTTTGCAGCTGTTTTATGTATCATTACATGAATATCAAAATTAGAGGTTATATAAGCCAATTTATTGTACCACATGTGCTTCTTTCATTCCATGTTTTTAGGTGTAGCACAAATTTTACTCTCATTTTTCATTCTTTTGTTGAATATATGATGCAGTGAATGGGGGGAAGCTGTATGGTTGATTGATCATGTAGTTGAAAATCATCTAGGTAGTTGGAGTGTTGAATGTCATTCTTTTTCATTCCGTTCTTGCTTTTGTATTATCTTTTTGAATAATTGTTTTTAGTTTACATTTCTGATTTTTTTTTTTTTGGAGTTTTTGTGGTGTAAATATCATGAATAATGTATTTAATTATTTGATGTATTGCTTCACAATCTTGTTTGGGAACTTCCTATGTATCTTCTCGTAATGGGCTGGCTGAAATGCTTGTTTTCTTTTTTAATGACCCGTTTGGGATTGTGGCTGCAACAGCTATCTGTAAAATTAGTTCTGGAGTTCTCATTAAAAACCATTGTTTTAAAAACTGTTGTGATGTTGTAGATTTCTTTTTTCTTAAGAATTAGATAATAGTCTTCTAATAAATTTAGTTCTGAAATATTTTCATCATTTAAAAAAAAAAAATTAGCCTTACAAAAGCTGACAGTGGTATGAAGAACAAAGCTAGTTGTTAGTAATTTGTTGGAGAGCAATATTATTCTTTGAGTTGAGGTTGTTGATCTAGAGAGTAGCAGGTAGCAACAGAGAACCACATGCTTGTTGTCCTGTATTTTATATTGTTGAATGATAACAATTATAGCTTTGAATATGGATTGCGGTGGCCCATTGAAGATGGTTGTGAGTACTGTTGCTTAGCTTGGTTGGTGGATGAGTACGGTTGGGAAATTCCAACCCGTGTTTGATTTTCCTCGAGCAGCAGCGTCTCTTAAGTGGTGCCCAATCAAATAAGGGTCAGGAGGTTTCTGGGGTGGGTGCCTTTTCTAGATCAGTCGAGAATTAGTCAAGCTGCCAAACGCCTTTTCGGGGTGTTAGCAAGTGGATACTCCATTCCAAAAAAAAAAGATAGTTGTCAGTCACATCCATTGATTTTGACTTTTGATTTTATGACCACGAATTGGATCAACAGCTGACATGATGATAAAAGTAGTTGGATGGGAAGACTTATAATATTAAGGGCATCTTCAACCAAAAATCTCATTTTTCACTCCAAAATGCAGTGAAACCAAAAAGTGCCGGGATTCATCTCCAATCGAACGTCATTTTGCCCCCTAACCGTCGCTCTCTTCTTTCGCGTCTTTCTTCTACAAGTTCGAGAAAACTTATAATATTAAGTTGGGAATATTCTCTCTTATAAGTTTTTTGGCATGAGGTATTAATAGTTTTGAAGTAAAAACATATGTTAGAATGCATCCATCTAATATTTGTTGTTCTTATTTGTGGTCTGACTAATTATATGAAATGTTTCAATTTAAAGATAGAAATCTTCAGTGGATTTTCATATTATTTTAAAACAAACTATATATTTTTAATTGAATGATTATCTTCTCATGTGAAATTCTCAAAAAGGTGTATGAGTGATGGTGATGAGGAGGGATACTCCATTATGTTTAATGTTGGAGGAAAGGAAATAATATTTGGAATTGATAGGTTTGTTCTTATCATTGGGTTGGTCCAAAGAATTTTTGTAATAGCTTATATTTTGATCCAATCAAATAATATTTTGGAAGTCATTATAAGTTCAATTTACAAGTCACTTTTCTTATAATATAGATGTTATTATGTTTTAATTATAATAATTTTTTTTCTAATTTTATGGGCAATATAGATATGAAAATAAGAAGTATTGCAATTCTTTAAGAAATTAATATATGTCGGTACAAGTGGATTTTTTTTTTTGTGACCGTGAGGTATTCATTTGGTAAATCAATTTCATCAGAGCATTCTAGGCATGTTGGACCATTTTATGAATATATTTTTTTTTTATAATTTTTGGATCCCTGTATTTGAAGATATAAAAAGATTTATAAGAATTTTAAATAAAAAATTAAATAATTGGAATAATTATGAATGTGTCTTTAAGATATTTATTATAAAATATTTGTAATTACTTACAGATCTTATCAAAATCCCATTTTTCCTTTTTTCTTTTGCTCAAGCCAAAGAAATATAATGGGGGAATTAAGGAAAAAAGAGAGGAGAGAGGAGAGAGGATAGAGGAGCTAGGATTTGGATGTCTTGGAGCTTTTTTTATCCGTCGATCCAATTAGAAAATTTGCTCATCTCAAGGTAGATAAATGTTATCCTATCAAAATGAATTTTAATTTGATCAAAAGTTGTAGTATCTTTATTTTTAGCAAACGTCCATCATGTAACTTTTAGTATGCTATAGTTTTAATTATTGTGCACATATTAGCATAAATATATTGAATTTTTACATGTTTTTTAATATTTTGAAAAAAAATCAATTTAAAAAATATAGATAAATATAAAAATTGAAAAAATAATTGTCAAAATCTCATAATGTCAGTATATGTCATGCAAACTTATTATAGTGGGTGCATACATATTGAAAAAGAGCACATGACATTTTTTTTATAAATTTTATTAATTTTGAATCATATGCAAATTATGCATGCATTAATATAATATAATAAGATGAACATTAAGCATAATATCACTTGTTTACTATATTATATATGTCATAAAATATGTGGATGTAAAACATGCTGGCTAAAGTTGATTGATTGATTCAGGTTAGCTAGAAACATGTTACCTTGTACAGGAGGGTGAGCTGACATGCTTTTCTTTAAAATAAGATTTTTGGTATAATTCTAAATGATATGAAAATTGATATATGAGAAGACACATGGGTGGGAACTGATGACTTTTGATATGAAAGTCACTTGACTTAAATGACTTGTGATATGACTGATTTATGAAAATGAGAATAATATGATCGAGATTGATTCATGTAAGATTTGCCTATAATATTAGATATAGAAAAAATGCCACAAATAGTTAGATGTCTTTTCTTTCTTACAATAGTTGTATATATATGACATTATGTACATAAGATACATACTATTACTTATATAAATATTTGATAAAACTGATAAATGCATTTGATATATATGAATCACATGATTTATATGATACACATGCATAATATAGACACTGTACGACATCCATATAATAATGATATGTGTAGTGATGTAATAAGATACTATATAAACTATTTTATAATTGATATGTGTAGGATTAACATAATTTACTTATCACAGTTCACTTGGTTATTGTTCATTGTTATTAAGATATACATTTAAACTAATGTTTATTGATCATATGACATATTATTATTTTATTGATTGTTACATGCTTTTACAGTTATATATTCATACTGACAGTAATTGAATGATTATATGCATATTGTTTATATTACACTGCATTGATTTCTTTTATAGGTTTTGATAACCTGCTGAGTTGTTAGGTCACTATGTGATTTTAGGAAATGACCGAGATCTAGTAAAGTAAGGACAGATTTTAGATTCAAGTTTTATTTTATTTTTGTATTTCTTAGTTTTATTCTTTTATAACTAAGAGTTAAAAGATAACTGATGATGTATGGATTGAACTATTGAATATTGTACATGAATTTTGAGGGACTAATATAAATTAATATTTTGATATATATGATTTTTAGTTGCTTCTGCTTGATTAATTTATATTGATAAATTTGTAGAATCTATAGTTGATTTATTTAGATATTAAAATCGATAATTCTTCCAAAATTATATCTCGGGATGTTACAATTTCAATCTAAAGAGAATTTTAAGAAGACGAGCAAAAGCAATAGGCTACTAGATAACTACTTGCATGTTGAAAATAATTTCAAGAATATAATATAGAGAAAGCAATCATGGAGTACACTGAGAGAGATGAAGTTTGAATGTCAAGTTTATGTCATCTTATGTATGGTGTTCCCCATAACCATGATAAGACAATGATATTTTTATTTAGATTATTGGCTTGGTGGAAGATAGGAAAGCATTCTTTAGATTTTGTACACTTATGAGGGCATTGAGAGCATTGAAGAAGGACGTGATGCTCTATTAGGCCATTGCCATGAATTGAAGAAGAATTCCCCAACTCATTACATTGTAATTAGATGTGTCATATATTGTGGATAAAAATATACTTTAATGTATGCTTTAAGAGTGAGGAGAACCAATGTGCTAACTTTTTTGCATTGCTTACTTTTGAATTCCAACTCGCAGTAAAGAACTTGTCTCTCCGCTTAGTCATATTCCATCATAGCATTGTATGATCAACTTATACTTAGATAAAAATCCTAGTTTCATTTAATTTCATAAATTTATTCAACATCTACCATGATAACTATGCACAATTATTTATTTTCCCTCAATGTTTCACATAGTCATTATGTTTTCAAATTTCAAATCTATGTTCTCTACCATTATAGCTAGTCACTTCTTAGTTGTAATTCCATACATGTTCACTCCCCCACTAGTTTTTATACTTTCTTTAGTAGTTCTTATTGTTAGCTTTTTCTTGATGCTTTATTTTCGTATACTCTCACACTTTATATTGCCTCAATCTCTCAATTTCTATATAGTCACTCAAACTCGTGAGTAAATTATTAACTTTCACTTAAATTGTTACATAACTTTACTATTTATATTATTTTTACACTAATTTCTCATTTGGTTTTTGAATAGTAAAAAAATATTATTGTTGAACAAATTATTGTATTAGCTGCAAATTATTACGTTATGTTATTTAAGTTTAGTTAATTAAATTGCTATTGTATGCACATAATATATGTATATATGAAATACAACTCAAGAGCATTTTGGTTAATAAAATCATCGCTTCATTTTGCAATGTGCATATTGAAACAAAGATGGATCTCTATACATCGCATTGCACTTAGCACTTTGAAAACATTGATGCCATATCATTACAATAATGGCTTATGAAGTTATCATAATGTTAGAGAGGAAATATACATAATAACTTAAAAAGAGAACACCAAAGATGTTGAGCTAGAAGAGTAACAAAGTGCTCCTTATTGAAGATACTTTATCATAATTGATGAATGAAGATGTAAGTCTTATGCAAAATATTGCATATATCTTATCACAATGTAGATCCATAAGTGTCAACATACAAAACCTGTCAAGTTGAGTTGAAAATTGGGAGAATAGGCATGCCAAGGGTTCACAAATAGAGAAATGAGAATATGATGCCTATATTGGTTACTTGATGAAGATA